CGCAGAGATCGATAACAACGCGTATCATCTCTGCATATAAGACGGTATCTACGAGTGCTGTGCAGGTCCTTGCAAGTGTCCCGCCAGCAGATCTTTTGGCGAGGGAAAGGGAAGAAATGTTTCTCTTTTCTAAAGAAAGAAGTTCCTTGGATGAGGAGTTAAGACCAAGCAAGGGCCTGATTCGCAAAGAAGCGAGGCACAGGCTCATAGAAAGATGGCAGGAAAGATGGGATGGTAAGGAAAAAGGTCGATGGACTTATCGCCTTATCCCGGCACTCGCCACCTGGATGAATAGGAAACACGGTCAGGTTTCCTATTACTTGACTCAGGCGTTCACAGGTCACGGGTGTTTTAACTCGTACCTGTGTCGCTTTAAATTACGCGAGAACGAGGTGTGTGCATATTGCCAGTTCCCTGAGGACAACGCGGAGCACACCCTCTTCTCATGCAAGAATTGGGACTTGGAGAGGCGGGCCATGTTCGAAGGTGTAAACAGTCAAGTTACACCGGAGAACATGGTATCGCTGATGACCCAGTCGGAAGAGAATTGGCGGCAAGTCGAGAACTTCATAATCTCGGTTATGTCGAGGAAGGATCTCGACGGCCGCCAAAAAGCGTAATTTAAACAGCTTTTAATTTTGTTCGTTTGTTTTTTATTAATTTATTTTGTGATTTATTTGTCCTTATACATTTTTTAATTGTTTGTGTTTTTTATTCATCTTTGTACAGTTTTATGTTTTTTGAATTTTTTATACGCGTTTATTTTTTTTTCTTTTTTTTTATATATCCGTTTATAATTTTATCTTCTGACTTTTTACACTTAATTACACATTTGTTATTTTTAATTATTGTTGTGCTGTTAATTCCGCTTTATAGTGAAATAGTTTTAAATTTTTAACTATTAACGCAGGATAACCGCAGAGAAAAGCAGAAAGTCGCATTAGCGATAGAGTTGGAGCGCCACCCTCGAAGGCTAAAGTCTTACGACAGTTCCGAGGGAGGGTAAAGGGCTCCAGAAGAAGGGTTACGGGTTTTAGTGGGTCGGGCTGGTAGTAGGTCGCCAGTGTATTAAATTTAATTTTTTATAGATTTATTTTTCTTTTTTTTATATTTCCTTTTGTTTTATCATACCAACCCCACATAACCTTGGAGTGCGGAATCCAAGGTATCTGTAGGCAGATTTCCCAAAAGTCCCTAAGCAAAAAAAAAAAAAAAAAAAAAAAAAAAATAATAATAATAATAATAATAATAATAATAATAATAATAATAATAATAATAATAATAATAATAATAATAATAATAATAATAATAATAATAATAATAATAATAATAATAATAATAATAATAATAATAATAATAATAATAATAATAATAATAATAATAATAATAATAATAATAATAATAATAATAATAATAATAATAATAATAATAATATAATAATAATAATAATAATAATAATAATAATAATAATAATAATAATAATAATAATAATAATAATAATAATAATAATAATAATAATAATAATAATAATAATAATAATAATAATAATACTAATAATTAATTAATTAATAATCATAATATAATAATAATAATAATAATAATATAATAATAATAATAATAATAATAATAATAATAATAATAATAATAATATAATAATAATTAATAATATAATAAAATAATAATAAATCTAATAATAATACTAATAATATAATAATAATAATAATAATAATAATAATAATAATAATATAAATAATAATAATAATATAATAATAATACTATAATAATAATAATAATAATAATAATATAATAATATAATAATCCGTGCCCGGTTGGAACTTTTGTTCTAATTGGAACTTTTGTTCTACCCGGGCGCATTAGAACCTGTTCTTTTGCGCGGGGTTGCTGGTCCTCTATCGGACGCGTGCCAGGTGGCGGATAGGTTAGCTTCCTAGAAATCAGGTGGTATCGAGGAAATCAAATACTCGACGCGGACCAAAACCAGCAAACAAGAAACATCCGTCATGAGCGATTGTAAAAACGAGGAAGAGTACCTGCGGGGTAATGCTACGGCTAATCCCTCACTGGTTCCGATCGTCAAGCGCATAGCGTGGGGACGGTGGCCAGTGGCCCAAGGATGCAGGAGGGCAACAACGCGTTGGGAGTCCCACAGATCATCGTGGACAGGGCGGAGAGACGAGGGAGTACGAGCAGCGTGACGAGTCAAGCCAGCTGCATTTCTGTATTCAGTAATGCTTCTGCGATTGACATTGCTAGCTGCAATGAACATCGAGATGAATGCGTGAAGCTGCGGGCGGAAGAGGCAGCAAGCATTCTAGAAATGGAAGAAGAGGTCAGCAAGATGCTGAAGTCCTGCGAAGTCCAGAAGAATGTCAATAGGACAATTAAGGATGGACTTAGAAGCATAACATCGCTCATACGGGATGTGAAGGAGAAGCACGCAGCAGCGTCCAGAAAAGATGAGAAGTTCTACCAGGGGTTAGCCTGGTCAGAGGATGCACGAAAGGACCGAAGAATGAGACGTGACCGTTTTAATGCAGTAATGCTTAAAAACGTTGTCCTGGAGTCTCAGAAGCGGAAGAGAAGTGATCCTGAGAGTACGAAGGACCCAAAAAAGAAGAAGGAGGAGGGACCTTCTAGAAGGTCTAAAGGTAACGAGACCAAACCGGCACCAAAGCCAAATCCAGTTAAGAAGGGAAGAGCCACAGTGGTCGTCAAAGTGGCTGAAGGAGCTACCTTCGCCGAGGTGCTGGCGAAGGTTCGAAAAGAGGCTGACCTGGAGGCCAGTCAGACAAGGGTTGTGGGAGCTTTACCCACTAAAAAGGGAGACCTGCTCATTAAAATTGGGGGGTCTTCAAACAAGAAGTTGTTCACCGAAGAGGTGACAAAGGTGATCGGCGATCTGGGTAAGGTGCAGATGGCGGACCGGCGAACTACGTTGGAAATCCGCGATATGGATGCCCTTACAGAAAAAGATGACGTACTGTGTGCCCTGGAGAAAATTTCTACGGTGCCAGCAGGAAGTAGGAGGGTGACGGTTCTGGGACCAAACAAGCGAGGAGTAAAACTCGCTGTCGTGGTCACCAATCAGGAAGACGCTGATAAGCTGGAGAAAATTGGGCACATAAAGATTGGGTTCGTCTCCTGCAAGATAAGAAGCAGAACTATGGTCACAAGGTGTCCTAAGTGCCTTGACTATGGCCATCTAGGTAGAGATTGCCAAGGTGTAGATAGGTCAGCTGCGTGCTTCAAGTGCGGAGAAGCTGGCCATAAGGCAGCAGATTGTAAGAAGAGCCCATGTTGCTTCTTATGCCAGGCAAAGTTCGGAGAGAAGGAGAATATCCAGCATGTCGCCGGATCAGGAGGTTGCAAGGTCTTCAGAACTGCCCTCGAGGAAGCAAAGAAGACTTTGTCAAGGACAAGGAGGAAATAATGCCAGAACAAGAGCGGCAAGAGACGGAAGACGATGTTGACCGGAGGAGTACAGTGCTCAGCTGTGTGTGAGTGTGGGGGGGAGGAAATCATTTAGTTTTCCTCCCACCCACGTTCCCACAAGGCTAGAGCGGATTAAGGCCCAGTTAAGGAGTAGGACAAGGGGACCACCATTTGCGAAGTTGAAGGCCTGACGGTAGTTCCGCAGGTGGATCAAGTGTCCCAAATTAAGACGGGAGTGGTTTTTAGTGGGTAGACCAGAACAAGAGCGGTCACCCCCACATAACCTGGAATTCATTACCCAGGTATCTGAATTCGCAGATTTTCCACTTCCGACTACAAAAAAAAAAAAAAAAAAAAAAAAATAATAATAATAATAATAATAATAATAATAATAATAATAATAATAATTATAATAATAATAATAATAATTATTATTATAATAATTATAATAATAATATAGTTAAAAAATTGAAATTACCTTGCAACAAATCACTCCAAATTTCATTTTTAACTCTTTCTCTTTCTTCGACGTACATTTCAGGAATTATTTTTCGTGAAAATGTTGTTCTGCTCGGTATTTTGTAAGTCGGATCTGCTATCTTTAAAACATTTTGAAAAGAAACATCCTCCACTAAACTGTAAGAATGTGAATCTAGAGCAATCATTAATGCAATTGCTCTAGTAAGCTTTTTTGCTTTTGTCGCTGACTTGTGTAACCTTTCTACCGACATTTTATGAATACACTTTTTTAAAACTATAAAAAGTGGGTGACTACTTATTTGGCTATTTTTTGCTACTGCTGAGTGCTGACATTCGTCGATTTTTACCAATTTTTACATGTTAATTATCTATAAATTAGTAATATGTACAAATGAACACTATTTATTTATTCCTTTTCCTTTAGAAAAAAGGCATGAGTGCGAAATCTCGAATTTAAATCGAAATAATCGAATGTACTCTCGCAGTTATATAGCAATGAAAATGAAACATAGAAGGGAACACTCACATTTCTAATGAAATATAGTACCTTAAAAACTCACACATAGTTAGAAGATGGAGCTACAGTCGTTCTTTTCAATGTCATTATCACCTTTAAACGTAAAGGTTCTGTGTGAGCGCCTTAAACCTCAAAGTTTCGCGTAACTTCTCAACCCTGGCTCTGTGCCCAAACCGAAATTTTTTTCTGTGTTCTTGTATGTTTATGGCTGTCATTTCAAGCTGTTTTAATATAGATTTCTCTAAAATATCAATTGTAATGAAAAATAATAAGTAACAATGTAATTATTTATTTTTAACAAATTAAAGTATAAGTATTTGTCATCAAAAATGCATTTACATAATTAAATATACTTGTTTGCTATTTTCATTTATTCATTATAATTTTGACAACTATTCCGTAAAAGTTTAGAATGTTTTTCTTTGTAGTGACTTATTTAAACATTACATATTTTTATTTAATTGATTTTTATCTTATTTACAGCAATTTATGGTACAAAGGAAAATAGTAACGAATTTCTATTAATAAGAAAGGCTATTCTAAATTCGATATGGATGATTCCGTTAACAATAACACTGAATTGACAACGCAGAAAAATGATGAAATGGAAGTAGAAGAAAGCGAAAGTATAAATTTAGAATTTTGAATACTAAATTACTTTTTCGACTTTATTTTTATATATTGCAACAAAATTTCATTTTTTCGAATAAAATGCAAATCATTTTTATTTTTGTATTATGAAAAGTAACTACACACAAAAATTTTCCTCTAAAAGTGTCTTACTTATTTTTGTAAGTCTTTTGGAGCAAAAAATAGAATTTTCACGTAAAAAGTGAAATCGTCATTTATTAAAATAAACTGTTTATATTTAGTACAAAATATTTTTTAAAACTTATATTTGAGTTAGACTTTCTTACAAATATTTTTATTAATTTCAATAATAATAAAGTTATCAAAAGTCGAGAAAATGGGAAAATTTTATCAAAAAGTGTAAAAAATATTTCTAGAAATGCTACACAAATTATACTTTTGGATGTCTTTTGATAATATTGAAAATCTTAAATTGGCACTGAATTTTCTTTTTCATTATAAAAATTCTACAAAAAAACAAGAGAAGTTACAGTTGCAATTTTTATAAAAAATTGAATTTTGGTATTTATCCAATTGAATTATAGAATAACTTTCTGAAAATTATTAAAAATAATTAATTTATAGAGGAATTATAGTAAACATTCTAGAAAATAATTGAGAATTGAAAGAGTCAAAGTTGAATTTATAAAGATAATTAAATTTTAAAAATTTTCAAATTGAAATTTTTTGAAAAAATGAATTTTGAATAATTTTTATTGGAAATTTAGTTTTTTGAACGTTTTTATTTTATCAATTTTTTTCTAAATTAGTTATGTTGAGTTTTTAAATATACATTTAACTAAAAAAATTTCCAAAAATTGTCGAAATTCAGTAAAATTTATTTATCAAAATCATTTATATTTTGAACAATTAAATTCAGAAATTCTGAAAAAATTAGGATATAAAAAATTTTTAATTACAATTTGTTAGCGAGTAAATTTTCTGAAAACTTAGAACTTATATTATTATGGGCCAAAGGAAAAAAGTTAAAATACTTTCTGGAAATCAGGGAAAAGTCAGTTTTCTTTTAACTTAAAAATTGAAAAATATAATACTTCATAAATAAAGCCGTAGATTAAATATATATTAAATTATTAATATATAAAATCTTTAAAAAATTCTTTTCCAGAGGATTCAAGCTTCTCAAAAACATTAAGAAGCTATGTGTGGAATCACTGCACAAAGCGTACCCCCAACATTGCTATATGTAATCTCTGTAAAGGTGAATTCAATACTACTAGCGGAAGCACATCTACCCTGCTACGGCACTTAAATTCAAAACACAAATCTGCTGTTGATAATTATAAGATTGATGTTGAGTCGAAAAACAAAAGCTTTACGAAGGATTCATTAAAAGCTAAAGAGATGACCAAAGCTCTAAGTTTACTTGTAACAGTTGGACTTCAACCATCCTCAATTTTAAATGAGCAGACTTTTATAAATTTTACTAAAGTCGCTGAACCGCGGTTTAGCATCCCTACTGTAGAAGAATTCTCGAGTAAAATAATTCCAGATTTGTTTAATGAAGAAAAGGAACGATTCAAAGATATAGTTGGAAAAGATTTTAAAGAAGGTCAGTTTAAAAAAATCAATTTAAGGACATTCATCTAAAGAAATACAAACTTTACAAAAAAAAATATTTAACGTTAAAAAAATTGAAATATTATTAATAGAATTTTCTATAAAAAATTGAAAACCTACAAAATTTATTTCATTATACAATTTGAATATGATCCAAATATTATTATATTGCTTCTATAAACAAGCAACTTATTTGTTTAAAAAAGCAAAAGCTTTCTTTTAAACAAACAAGCATATTTTTAATACGGTGTGGTTATTTGAAAATTTTAAAGATGTCGTTATAGAGAATCACTTTTTGAAGAAAATAAGCAAAATTACATTAAAATCGAATTATATTTAAAAAAAATTCTAAGTAGCAATGTGATAAAGAATTTTTTATGTAAATTGTGTAAATAAATATTTTTTTAGAAAATTGATATTTTTGTTTTTCTAGAAAGTATTATTAATAATATATAATAATAATAATATTTTAATTATTTAAACGTTAATTAGTTTTATTTGATAGTTCTATTTTTAAAAAATTTTTTTTACTAATAAGTTTGAATTTTATTGTGTTTTATTTTTATTTTATTGTAGAGTATAAGACAATAGCAATTTCAATAAATGGATTTACAAAGTGTAATATTGGGACCTTCATCGCTCCTACTCTTCATTACATCAATTCAGATTTTAAGTGTCAAAATATTACCCTTGATATAAAATAATTGCCTACTTCAGTTTCTGCTGAAACTATAGTTAATTACATAGATGATTTAATGACTGAATGGAAAATTCTACCTAGAGAGAATTGTCCAATTTATTTTACAGTGGAAAACACAGAAGTCATGAAAGAAGTAATTTCTTCTGATAAAACATGGCAGAAAATTCCATGCCTGTTTAATATAATCGAAGAATCAGTTATGAAGGCCATTGAAGCTACTGAATCATTCATTGATCTTTCCTTGCAATGTATAAAGATAGTGAAACACTTCAAAGAGAATTCTTTCGACAATGAAAGATTAAAGAAGTTAATTAGCACAGAAGAGAGCATTAATAGAATAAAATTACCTTCAGATAATTGGTACTCCCACTTGCAATTTTTTCAAAAATTACTGCAAATAAGAATTTCTTTGAGAAAAATCGTGAAGGAAAACAGTAAGTTCTAAACATTAATTTTTTGAAAGTATAGATTAAATAACCGTCCGGACAATTGGTCGCAAAGTATAATATCAGGGTGCCTATTAATTTCGTTCAACAAAATTCCTGTCTTTGTCCTAATTTTTCTCTTTTTTTCTCATCAAATTTAAATTTATTTTATTTGGAACAATCTACAATAATCTACAAATTGCTTCAAAATAATCTACAAATTGCTTCAAAAATGTTTATTAGAGTTTTTATGAATAATTAAATTCTTTTGGCGAGTTTCTTTAAATTTTTTAAAAATAATATTTTTTTAATAATTTAAATTGAAAATTTGGAAAATAGTTGAATTAAAATTTATAAAATAATATTATAATTACGGTGATTAACTTCTCTTAATTATTTTCGAAAAATTAAAAAAAAATTCTTTAAAAGAATTCAATTATTCTTAATAAAATGTGAAGAAATTTCAATTATTTCAAAAATGTCCAATTATTTGCTTATAAAAATTTAATTATCTTGACATAATAAAATTGAAAAATTTCAAAAATATTATTTTTCAGAATTTTCAAAACAACTTTGTGAAAATTCGATTTGTTAAAAAAATTTTAGTGAAATTCTTTAATAAATTTAATTATTTTCAGTTCAATTTCACAAAATTTCTATAAATTCGATAATAATTCACAAATAAGGAAATATGTGTATTATTTTTTATTATGCGTTTTAGGCACTTCAATTAATTTATTAGCATACGAATGGGAGATAATAAAAGAGTATGTGGAAGTTCTCGAAGCAATAAGTGATACTGTTGACACACTGAAAAGTTTCACTGAAGAACAATTCCCTAGTTTATCGTGTTTCTTTCCTATCTTGAAAGGTTTGATAGAAAGTGTGAATGGAGAATGTGACTTAGCAACGAGAATTGTGAATGAAGTGACTAGTCATTTTTTGGAAATAAATAAAATCGATGTTATTAAAGTGTCAATGATACTAGACCCGCGATTTAAAGATCGATTTATGGAGAATAAAAATGCGTCTACAATATTAAAATTGTTTATGAATGAATTGAACTTTTCACAGACAATAGATGGAAATACTGAAATTTCAAAAGTACCAACAGACGAAGGTGTTTTTCTATGACGTTTTTTATTATATTTTATTAAACTTTCGATGATTAGGTTTCTTTTCAAAATAAAATTTTTTTTGTCAATTTATTTATATTTAATTATAATTTTATTCTAATTACTTATATTTTATTGATCTTACCAATTATTAGGTGAACCGAAAAGTAAAGTGCAAAAATTTTTAATGCAACACTACATTGCGGAAAATTTGTCTACCGAACGCAGATCACAATTTCATCTCAGTCAGGAAATTAATGGATATTTGGAAACGATAACTACTCCTATTACCTCTAATCCAATTACTTGGTGGTCTGAGAATGGTGACAAATACCCTAGTTTAAAAAAAGTTGCGAAAGAAGTGTTGATTATTCCCTCAACAATGGTACCGAAATATTTTAATCACAAACTTCAAATCTTGCGTTCCAAAGTCGACCCAGAAGACGTACCTACAATTGGATTTTTACATTCTAATTTAAAAAGTGGTTGTTAATTAAAATTTAATAACATAATCAAAAATATTAGTAACAAAATAATTATTCATTATTGATAATATTTTTTTAATTAAAAAGTATAAGTAAGTGTTAATTTGTTTTCATTAAAATATCATATGTCACATGTCATATCATGTCACATATAAAATGTCATTATTCACTATTGTTAATATTTTTTTAATTAAAAAGTATAAGTAAGTGTTAATTTGTTTTCATTAAAATGTCTCAAGCCCACAACCTTATATGTGACTGTCCACGAGAAAACAAGGCTTAGGTCCAAAAAATCAATTTTGATTTTTTTTATGGTAATCGACAGATTTTATGTTGCTTTTTCAAATGCAAAAGTCAAAAGTTAAAAATATCAATTACTTTCGACAATATATCGTTTTAAAGATGGGTATGTTAAGCGTAGTTAACTTCAATCGTAGTACTTCAATCGCTCGCCCTGTGAAATTCACGTTTGGGAGCTAAGCCTTGTTTTCTCGTGGACAGTCACATATAGTTAACATAAATAAATTTAGTTTTCTTTAACAATTTCTGAACATAATAAACAAAAAATATTATTAATGTTTTTATTGATTTTTTTTTAAATATTTAATACTTAATACATATAAATTTTTTTTGAACTGTCAGTAAATTGTGAGGTAAATGTTAAGACTGAAATGGTATTATTTTATTACCAAAGTGAATTAAAATAATATGGAACGCTTTAATCCATCCAGGTTTAAAATAATACATAGATGGATAATTTCTTCAAACTGTCATTCAGACTTAAAAATTTTATTTTTTCTTTAAATAACAAACATTATTATACATTTAATTTTTAATAAAAATTACGTCAGGTCAACAACAAGCTACAGCACGAAAGACGCACAGTCACTTTTGGTTTCCATCTAATAATTATAGCTCTTAATTAACATCACGGTATACACTAATGTCCAGGAGTCCAGGAGTCCAAGGTGCACATTAGGGTTAGTTTATAGCTATGATTATTCCATAGAAACAAAAATTGTCTAAAGATGACGTTCACCTGACTCCTGGACATCCGGATGTTCTTTAGTGTTATTTTGGAAGCATGATTACTCAAGAAAAAACAGAATTACCTAAAGACGATGTACAACTGACTCTTACTCATCCAGTTGCATTTAATTGTTAGTCTATAGCTATGATAATACGTTAGAGACAAAAATTCCCTGAAGAAGATGTTTAATTCACTCCTGGACATCCGAGTACACTACACGGTTAGTCTACAGCTATGATAATTCGATAGATACAAAAATTCCCTGAAGAAGATGTTCACCTGACTCCTGGACACCCAGGTGCACTTTAGGGTTAGTCTATAACTATGGTTATTCGATAGAAACAAAAATTCCTTGAAGAAGATGTTCACCTAACTCCTGGACATCCGGGTGTACTTTAGGGTTAGTCTATAGCTATGATTATTCAATAGAAACAAAAATTCCCTGAAGAAGATGTTCACCTGACTCCTAGACACCCGGGTGCACTTTAGGGTTAGTCTATAGCTATGATTATTCAATAGAAACAAAAATTCCCTGAAGAAGATGTTCACCTGACTCCTAGACACCCGGGTGCACTTTAGGGTTAATCTATAGCTATGATTATTCAATAGAAACAAAAATTCCCTGAAGAAGATGTTCACCTGACTCCTAGACACCCGGGTGCACTTTAGGGTTAGTCTATAGCTATGATAATTCGATAGATACAAAAATTCCCTGAAGAAGATGTTCACCTGACTCCTGGACACCCGGATGTTCTTTAGTGTTATTTTGGAAGCATGATTACTCAAGAAAAAACAGAATTACCTGAAGACGATGTACAACTGACTCTTAGTCATCCAGTTGCATTTAAATGTTAGTCTACAGCTATGATAATTCGATAGATACAAAAATTCCCTGAAGAAGATGTTCACCTGACTCCTGGACACCCGGATGTTCTTTACTGTTATTTTGGATGCATGATTACTCAAGAAAAAACAGAATTACCTGAAGACGATGTACAACTGACTCTTAGTCATCCAGTTGCATTTAAATGTTAGTCTATAACTATGGTTATTCGATAGAAACAAAAATTCCTTGAAGAAGATGTTCACCTAACTCCTGGACATCCGGGTGTACTTTAGGGTTAGTCTATAGCTATGATTATTCAATAGAAACAAAAATTCCCTGAAGAAGATGTTCACCTGACTCCTAGACACCCGGGTGCACTTTAGAGTTAGTCTATAGCTATGATTATTCAATAGAAACAAAAATTCCCTGAAGAAGATGTTCACCTGACT